TACAAATTAATCATAATAGTTTATTTTACCAGCAAAATAAAAATCTCAAAGATACAGCTCATATTGCTTTAATTTTTTCCATTTGGCCATTGATTTTTAACGGATAGAGTTTGTATGACTATGATTTAAAATAATATCACATATATCAGTAATTAAAACAGTCCAGACCCCAAGATATGCTTTGATTTTAAAATTTAATTTTCTATTCAATAAGCATTTTTTTCTTATAAGTTAAAAATTCAGTCTTGGAATTGTTAAAATAATGCACATGTTTATTTTATAGACATTCATTTAGTTTCAAACAAACAGTACTTTCATCGCCATCTACATGTAGAAAAACTGATATATGTACATTGTCAAGTGACTCCATGCATGTTAATTCTTAAAACTCCAAATCACTAATATACTATTAATTTGATAAAAATCAAAACAGGATATAATCAGTATGATAACATCGATGAAAACGATATGAAACCATGAAACTCTTCAACAATTTCAATATTTTGAAAAGCCAGCGCTATTGAAAATAGTTGGCTTACAGTATGCATTCATCAGCTATCACAATTATCCCAATAAAGCAAATATCTAATTTCTCTTTCAGTTTAATTTTCAGTTAAAAAATATTTGTTTGAATATTGTCCTTGCAATGGGACTATTTTGTTTATTGGAAGTGTCTGCTTTGACGCTGTTTGGTTTTTTGTTTACTTTGCTATTTATAGTAAGACAGTCGATCATGATGTCTATGCCAGGACTTTGCTTTCAGCAAAGCCTGGCTAAAAATATACATTTGCAGATACCATGTTAAAGAAGATCTGTATTCTTAGTTCTTTTTTTTTTGTGGGCACCATGGAATACATGTATCTACATTCTTATTTTGTAGATACCATACATAGAAACCAGTGCCAAGGATCCTCCCATTAATGTAGACCTAGCCTTTCATGAAGTTGTCAGGGTCATAAGGTTAGATTGTTGATAAGTTTCTCATATTAGATAGAAATTTTTAAAATGGAGTTTAAACTTCAACCTGTTCAGTGATCTAAAATATATGTATTTTTAACAAGAGAGACAACTCCTACTTTTCAAAAAATAGTTTTTAAATATAAATTTTGTAGATAAAAACATTGTTATCCATAGTAGTTTGACAAATTTTTTTGCTTTAAAAATAAATTCTGAATGTTGGAATATGAATACTTTTTGTAGGCTGATGCCATTTGACCCCAAACAACATCGCCGGAGAAAAGCTCGGAAGTCAAAGTGCACCATCCTGTGATGTCATCTTCCTCATCGTAACCACGTAACCACTCTCCATCACAGCTCATCACTATCATCTTGAGGTCCTAAGGACTTCTGTAGTCAGCGCTGTAGCCATCTTATCATCCTACTTTGTTACAGTATCATTGGCGATTGGTAGACCAACAAGATTTCTGTAGTTGGCTCTGCAGGCAGTGACCAATCTTGTAGACAGTGGAAGTGTAGCGTCTCTCTCTGCTCTTCAGTCCAAAACTGCAAAGATTTCTGCGCCTCTATTGGACATATGACAATTGAGGCACTTGAGCAGTTGATGTACAAGAGCGAACTTTTTTTTGGCTACACTGGATCACATCTCTAGTCATCCTCATACTGTTAGTTTGTAGTTGAATTTTTGTTGTAAACAGCTCATATTATATTTGGCATTGTTTGACTCGATGAGAGCCATCATTTGTTAATTTCTACTAGAATCACCTTTGTTTTGTTTCATAGAACTTTACCATTGTTATTTAAGACTGGTTGTCCTTTTTTTGTTGATATTAAGGATGACTCACAAGTTTCTGATAAACACTGTCATCTGTACATTCCCTTTTTCATGAGTTCATTCCTTCATGTATTATCCTTAGATTTGTTTCTTGATAGGTTTAGAGAAAGGTTTGGCAAGCATATTTTGATTCTTGTCCTCGTTTTCTTAAGTAAAATTACTCTATATTTTTGAGATATATATTGGGATATATAAGAAGAGAGTATTTCAGACTCCATTTTATATTGTCAGAAAAATAAAAAATCTAGTCAGTTTTATTTGCAGAACGAATCAACCCAATGCTCTGGAATTTACAGCTAAGTAGACATAATATAAGTAAAATATGTTAATTACTGCACTTATTGTATAGCCATGAAACAAATATTGTTTTTAAAAAAAAAGTGATTTCTGGGGGGGGGGGGGGGGTGGAGGGACTAATGAAGTGGACTTTGCTAAAAGAGTTTCTTTACCCAGTATTAAATGGCATTGGAAAATGTCTTTTTAAGCTTTTATTTTTGTAGAAACATTTTATTTACCCAAGTTTTTTGAAAAAAAAGATGTTTGATACAGATGCTCAAATATACTGCCAATATAGTCATTTTAATTTGCCTGCTCAATACTTCTCATTTGTATTAATATGTGAATTGAAAAGTTATCAATGAACATGTACTGATACAATTGCGGTTTAAACTGAACAAAGACATTTTTTTTACACATTCCATTTGTTGA